AATCTAACAAAAATAATTTTAGAGGTGTTTTTGTCGATGTGAGAGAAGCCGCTCAGATCAAGTGGCTCGTAAACATACACAGATCAGAGGAAAAAATGAAGCTGGATCAGTTCGCATTCCCATTTTATCACCACGAACGACGAAGTTGTGCCACTCGTGCAAGCCTAGAGGCCTAATTATTTACCAAATGAAGCATTTGTCCAATAAAGGAATATCATATCCGAAATCAGCCATAAAATTATAGAAAGAAAAGATCCAACAAAACAAATTAATCTGTGGCAGTTATGTCGTCAATATTAACCATGACGACAAAGGAACCAACCAAACCTGACCTGGCCCACTTAACCCAAATTTATGAAGAAGTTATTTGTTGAAGTTAGGTTTTCTTGGTTCGACGCTAAAAATACTGTATGCACGGTGCCCTTCCAAACTATTCACATGTGTTAAACAGCTTATGCAGTATCAGATGTCCAATTGTTTATAGCTTCCAGTTTACAGTATTTCTTCTCTATCAGCCAGCTGACAATGACAACATATGGGTGAGATGGATTACAGTTTCACAAAAGCTAAAATTATTCAAATACTCACTTGATGTATCATATGATTATGATTTAATCGTATTAGAAATACTTAATGTAAGGAAACATTTTCATTCTTTTTTTTTTTTTGGGTGGTTGGTTTTCACTGAAAGCAAGTGAACCGAGACGCCATTTTGTAAACACACGGGCAACAAATTTACTTATTTCCCATTTAACTATAATAATATGTCTAAGTATTCCGCCATGTAAGTCCTTGCGAAATGTTAGTTGTGCTTTTTCGTGGAGTGATTGGTATGAGTTTGTAAGGGAATAAGATCATGGTATATACTGCAGTTTTAGCAGTTGATTGTGGTATAGGATGAGTCAGCTCCGGCCACAATACCTACTCCCTTGCCGGGTAGCCTACTGTATATCCTCATATTTAACACATTAACCTCACCAAATACAGCCCGTGTTAGCCTCCACTTACCATTATGTTCCCTTACCAACGACGACGGCACTATTACACTATGACAATTCATAACACTTCACTCTGACATACGTATGTTAACACTACAACAGCGGCTACTAAACTGACCGTCGAGATTCATGTCACCGATACACAAAACATCTCGAAACAGGTGTCGGAGCTTCATGGGACTGAATAAACCTGTCTCATTTCTGTGACAAGGCTTCGATAAGGCTTCGATTGTAGCTCTCTCACTGAATTTGCCAAATACTGTATCCACCTCGTTGATCTAGACCCCATGTGGCCCACTGAAATGAGAGGGGGTTTCTAATGGATCCCACTAACTAACCGGGCTGCCTACCACTGCCTTACATAACGTTGAAATTTGTGAGGGAACGTTCTAGCAGTTCATTCTGATTGCCGAGGACCTGGATATTTTGAGGTGACTGTACTACATGCGTAATCAATGAGAACCTCTATGATGATTTTACTATCTATCTATCTATCTATCTACTTACCTACCTGTACTCACCACTGATACTCACTTTTTTATTCATGAGTTCACGTCTTTGAATCAAAAGCATCGTTTGTGTGTTAGTCATAGTTGAAAAGGGTAAATGTTATTTCTTCTTTACATATATTCCGTCATGGTTACGATTCTTAGTATGAACTGTGCAAAAGTGATCCCGTGTTTAAAGTGAGGCAGAACGGACTTACTAGAAATAAAAACAATAATGACTTACGAAGAAATTAAAAAAAATAAATACAATAAAATGTTTAATTTACTACAAAAATAAGTAATAATAAAAATACTGAGAGAAATAAAACACACAGAGAAATATTTACACTAAGGTGAACTGTACCTGTATTGCGACTCGGCATCAGAAAATATATTACGAGATTATTGAATAGCGAAAGGGCGTCATGTGGCTGAGTAACCTGTCAACCCAGCCGAATGAGATGTAAATTGTGTTCTCTCAAGGGGTACGTATTCTGCCAAACAGTGATGGCAACAGTGCGCATCCGGGGCAGTCAAGTTAAGGAGAGGACGGCGTGGTAGTTTATGTGTTCAGAAATAACAGTTTAGGTACAAGTACAGGTGTAAATACAAGTACAAGTTAACAGGTAGAGATTTAAGGGCAGAAACAGGTATACATATTCAAGTACCTACACTCCATCCACCACACAAACGTCCACCATCCATCCACCTCACTAGGACCCACATCCCCATCCACCACAACTAAGATCCTTCACGTACACTCCTTCAGCGACTACAGGAGGAGAGGTTTGTTTACATAATGTCATCTCTTCCTCGCCTCCCTCTCAGTTCTCATGCATCCTAAATTTGCTGTTCTGATTCCCTAAACACCGACGCCCTTAACTCTACAAGTCTGGAGAGGGGAGGGGGGATGGGGAGGGGGTTTATCTCTCTCTCTCTCTCTCTCTCTCTCTCCACACACATACAAGGTTACCCATACATATGATTATCACGACGGTACACACTCACATACAATTACTTCTAGAGACATTACACCACACACACACCATCCAGTTCCGACACTCAACGCAATACGTGAAAAAAATGAATAAATGTTTTGAATATTGAATAGACATTTCATCCAGAGTAATCAGATGTGTGTGTGTGTGTGTGCGTTCAGGTGTGTAGTCAGGGATGGAAACATGTATGTATTCATATATCTATTCAGGTGTGCATTCATGTGTATATTTACATGTATGTATTTAAGTTTGTATTCGAGTGTGTGTATGCAGGTGAATGTGTCTATGTATATATGTATTCAGGTGTATTCATGCATGTATTCAAAAGATAATTCATATATTTGCATTTGCATATTCACATGACCGATATGACACCAATTTGTATTAACCTCAACGTATACATACATACATACATACATACATATATACATACATACATACATGCATACATACACACATACATACATAAAACCTGGAGTGTATACCTGAATTGGCTTACTTAATATTTACCTACGAGTAAAATTCTATCTTTCTCTCTATTAACTCTCTTACTATCTCTCTTGACTCTTCTTTTAGGATCTTTATTTACTGCCTCAATAGTCTTACCTTTACACACTTACACAGCCTATTGACTGTTAACTGTGTGACCGTCTTCCCTGACTGTTTGACTGATCCAGAATAATTTGTTCCACCTCTGCTCCCGTCCTGTTTACTGTCACCTGCCAGTCACTATATAAGAGCCTTACACTCTACGCTCTTTCTTCGTTTAACGCTCGACACACTTTTCTCTCCTCTCTCCCTCGCTATCCCCATCCTCTCCCTTTCTATCCCTCTTTTCTCCCTCCCTTACTTCCTGCCTATCCGCTCCCCCCACGCCTCTCCCTCCCTCTCCTTCTCCACCTTCCCTCTCTCTCCCTTCTCCACCTTCCCTCCCCCTCTTTTCACCCTCCTTCCTTCCCTCCTTCCTTCCCCCCTCCCTCCCCTCCAAGTCCTCAAGAAAACGCTGATGGCTGGGATCATCTACTCAAGAGTCTTCATAATCGTGTTTACTTGTTATAGATTCGACAAAAAACAACTAAAAAAATACGTCAAATTATTGGGTTTCGTTGTTTATGTTTTATGGGGGGTTTAAATACCAGGGTTATTAAGCACTTTGATAATGTGTGAGGAAAATATTAAATGCTTTTGTAGAGTTTCGCGATATGTGAATCTAACTCCGACTTCTGGTTGCTGCCGCCAAGGTGGTAATTTGTGGCTGTGATTAATTCTTAATTGGAATCCAAACAAGGATTAATTAAGCCTGGAAATGCGTTTTCTCGTATTTTGAGTTAAACGAATACACACACACGCACACACACACACATTGAACGAGAGAGAGAGAGAGAGAGAGAGACTGGATCGTATATTTGGAACACGTACCATCCTTATGACTCACACACACACACACACACACAGTCATCATGTATATTGCGTGATTGTGTGTGTGTGTGTGTGTGTGTGTGTGTGTGTGTGTGTGTGTGTGTGTGTGTGTCCTTTTCTCTTATACTCTAATTATTGTTTTCTCTCTCTCTCTCTCTCTCTCTCTCTCTCTCTCTCTCTCTCTCTCTCTCTCACCCAGGACACAACACCCAGGAGAACGCTTCAGTTGAACGTCTTAAATGTGAAAGTTGTGTTGGCAATATAAACTCCATAAGTTCTTTAAATTAATCCTCTCATTCCTCTCAAGTCTTCCTGCTATCGCCTCCACATTCTCCATCGTGTTGTCTTCTTCCTTAAATGCCACACAATGAAGGCTCTCTTTGTACCACATATCAAGAGGCGATCATTATAGTGACCCTCTCAACTCTCTCTGATCTTCACCATAACCTCATCTGTAAGTTTGGGAAAGAGCAACCGCACCATCCACATCACCGTCTCCTGCTACCACCTGAGATCCCTCGTCCGCGAATTGCTGCTCTACACCATTGCAGCATCCAGCCCATACTATCACTTACTGAACGCTATAAGAGTATAAGAATAACCACACTCAATTGATTGTAAAAAATTATCAACAATTCGTAGTTAACTTGTGTGTTTACTTCTTGCCGATCTTACTTTGTTTTTACTGTAACTGTGCTGAAGTGACTTGTTAATTGACCCTCCCATTATATATTATACACGAACAGTTGTGGGAATGTTGTTCCTACACACCCTGTGGCAACCTGTGTCTCCAAGCGGCTACATCGCAGTAGTAGTATCTATTTATAAATGAATGGGTATTGGTCGACTAACGACGGACGTGATGGTGGATTAGGTTTGCTCAAGGTCTATATTGACCTTGGGTTTGCAATAAGTCATATAGGTTGGCCGTTTAGAGACACGGGTTACCACTCATGAAGTTTGTATTTGTTCGGTCTGTAACTGTTGTACTCGTCAATAAACAGTTTATTACGTATTACCATTATCTGATTATTACACACACACACATACACACACACACACACCTACTCCTACTCACACCTGCCTTTTCTCAACAGGTGTACAATTGGTGGCTGGATGACATGTACCTGAACGTGCCACTGCCGTTACCTGTCAACAGTAACCCTGGCATGGTGTTCCCCCATCAGAAGTTCACTACAGACGCTGACATGCTCAATTTCGCAACCCGCCTCGTCACGGCAGCCCTCGACATGAAGGAGAGGATCGAAGCGTGAGTACCAGTTTGTTGGTGTTTTATTTGCTTCATGCGAGTGTTTTATGCTGTATCTTGGGTTTAAGGGGGAATTTCTTAGGGTTTCTAGGGATTTTGGGGCGGTTTCTGGGGGTTTCTAGGAAGCACCTGCTATTTTCTTGTGGTTTTTGTTTTGCTTCATGGGGTGTTTCCTGCTGCTGCTTCTTCTTCTATTTGTCACTTTGATCCCGGTTGACTTTTTTTCTTGAGGTTTCCTAATGTTTTTTTTTCGGGATTCTTGTTCACTCCTGCTTCAGGCTCCAGTGTCCTAGGGTTCCAGTGTTCCGGGGTTCCAGTGTCCCAGGGTTCCAGTGTTCCGGGGTTCCAGTGTCCCAGTGTTCCGGGGTTCCAGTGTCCCAGGGTTATAAGGTACCATCGTCACAGGTGCGGCTGATGAAAAAGTTCAGGAGAAAGATGCAAATGCCGCCACTCCTCATTAGCGAGTCAGCAAAGTGGATCAGAAGCATAACTTGTGGCCGTCTGCTCTAACACTCAACCATCTTACCTAATACTCAAGAAATTCATAACTAAATACAAAGAAAAAAAATATACGATCACGTAGAGATTACAAACACCAAGTATATTTCACTTTAAGATTAACCTAACCTAATCTCCCCAGGTTTAATTATTGGGTAACATATGCTAAGGGGGTTAAATCTTCAGGGGAGTTTATGGCCAGAATACAGATTTATTTCAGAGTTTTCAAGATTTTTTTTTAAATATTTAACCAAATGAAATATAAAGTTGTAATTTGATTATCATAAAGTTGATTCAAAAGTTCACTGCCGAGTTGAAAGTTTGAGACTATAATTCAACACCGTTACCCTGATACCGTCTCACGCTATACTAGTCTTAGAAGAGATCCTAAACCGTCTAACTACGCCTGTTTTACCTTAACAGTATTTGTAACGTATTCATTAAATAAACAAAATTATAGTACAGCATGTCTATAATCAGTTAATTTCATATTGATTCTTATTGAACGATGTTTAACCACTACTCGGTGTGTCGTGTCGAAGGAGAAACAGGAAGCAATAGCAGCAACATCAGTCCTTAGTTCCGCCACCAGCCGCTAGGAGACGCTACCTACCGGCCATCACACCCACACCCACGCTAAGTCTCCACCGCACGCTCCTCTTGTTAAAAATTTACATTGCTGGCGTATACATGTAAATCTTCTTAACCCACATATACGGTCACCTTGAATTATCCACAGCTTGTAGATTATGCAAGAAGGAGGTATATTTACTGAGAGAATTAGAAACTTAGAGCTAAAAAATATGAATGTGTATACGGCGAGTGTAATATCTTTTGGCTGTTATTAATTTCTATTTTGTGGTATAAATTGTGAAGGAACTTTGCAGTGTGGCCATGTATCTCTCTTATCTTAGTCTCTCTGTAATCTTTCTCTCCTATTCATTCCTTCTTTTCTCCTTCCCTCTTTTCTCATTCACTTTCTCCCTGTCTCATTCTTTATCCATCTCTCTCTTGCTTTCCATCTCTCCCTCTTTCTCATTTCTATTCCCTCTCATCCTCCCTCCACCCTTTCTCTATTTATCTCTTTCCTACCCATCTTTCTCTCTCCCTCTCTCTACTTCAAGACGTATCTATCATTAAGAGAAATACACCTTTGATCTATTAAAAAAACACACGCTTTCCCACCACAGTCTTTGTTGACAAATCAAAAGGGCCCCAGTCCTAACAGGCCCCAGACCAAATAGACCCCAATCCTAATAATCCCCAACTTAACCTAACCTAACCATTAGAAGTAAGACGCAATTCTAATAGATCCCTTTTCTAATGGATGTCAATTCTAACGCGGGTTCAGTTTTAATATTCAAATAAATGGGGGCTTTACCACGTGTCTATGTTAGGATCAGAATCTCAAAGGTTCTCACGTCTTATATACTTCTTTCTCTCTATGACTTGAGCTGGGAGGAAGTGCCCAGCTGACCAACATAATCAGTCAAGAGTGGCGTTGAAGTTAGGTTTGAGAATCTGCTGTAAGTGTCGTTTTTTTCTTATGTCCTTGTGGTCGAAAAATGGAGAAATTAACGTTGGAATCTTTGAGAAGGAGATGATGTGTGTGTGTGTGTGTGTGTGTGTGTGTTGGGGCCGCCCACCGTGTACACCTCTCCCTCTCGTACACATAGAACACCTTCAATAAATATACCAAAGCCGACTGAATGACCTTTCATCTCTGTGACCTTCATCTCTGACCCATAGGCTGCCAAAGGAAGGTCTTCACTAATCAAAACTGAAAGATTTGAAGGCGATGCACTGACAGCCAGACAGACACATAGACCAAATTACCACATCAAAGAATAATAACTAGTAACAAATAAAGCTTTTAACAGTAGGCGTTATATAGGAGACTCTTAGCAATGTTCCGGGTCTTTGTTTATGTATTGTGGTAGATGTAAGCAAATAATAATAACATTGTTCCCGTGATGGCGGCTCCCAGTCTCCCTCCCACTCACTGCAACATCCCCGCGTCACTCTCTACAACATGGTTCTCTTCTCTTTATAAAACTTTAAATTGTACTTGTAAATTGTTAATGGAAAGTCTTGAGAAAAAAAAATTATCAAAGCACTTTACTAGAATATATATTTTTTTCTCTCTCTCCAGAAGAACAAGGAATAAAGTTTTCTAATGCCTAACAAGTCGCCGGGAACTAAGTGGAGTTGTTTTAAAAGAGTTTCGACTGATGCATTTCCTGTGACGTCAAAGGCAGCTCAAACCAGGCACTCCCTTGTCCTTGTTCCAATATTTTGCTGCTAGACGGATGCTGATTTTCAAAGGATTCTTCCTCCATTACTACTCCTCCCACCTGTCTGGATACGTGCAAACACATCTAATTATACCTCACTCAAAATAATCATCAGAGTGACATCGAAGGTGCACCTGGACACGAGAGTAAGATGTATGCTGTTAGTCCCAGATACAGGTAAAAGAATTAGGGAAGAGTCCCCGGGGGAGTGTAACAGTTGGAGTGAGGCGCGACTCGGTAAATCACTCGTCATCCACAGCCAAATGCAACTCCCAAAATCAACATTTCCTGTGACTTTCTGAATATGAATATGGAGGCTTCTTCTCGCGACGACCAGCAAGAATTTATTCTGTAAAATCATGGTTAATAGTTCTCTTTTTAACGTGCTTGTGTTTACCTTTTCCAAGAGATGTGTTTCCCTGAAGACTAGAGTTTTATTATGGTGAATATGAGAGTTACATTACCTGTTTGTTCACTAATTGAGGGACGGAAGGTTAAATATACTGTATACCTGACTGTGTGTGTGTACAATGTATACACACACACACACACACATATATATATTAATTCATCTCCGCCAGTCCATCACAATTTCACCCAGGGCGGCAGCTCTTTACGTCTCTTGGTTACTCACGGACTCACTCCCTCACTGGCCTAGAGAAATCGAGTAAACTGACTGGTTTTGGTATTTTCACTTAAAACCATTATGATATGCAAACGTAAACAGAGACGATAAATTTATGCAAGCTTAAACTTTAACCTCAAGCCGGCTGACAGTCATGGCTAAAGTGTCAACACGATTGACTTATATTTGGGATTGTAATAAGTATTTCCTTGAATATTGTCTTTATTTGTGACCCGACAGCTTTAGCTCAGATCATGTTTTACACTACCTAAGACCTGTGACTTCATCTACAGCCGCGCTCTTCTACTTAGTTTCAGGACAACACTCAAAGTTTCTCACAAGCTACATCATCCTTGATCACTGTCCCCAGAGGTGACCTGGACGTGGACCGGTGCAGTGCTAGGGAGAGACACCAGCCTATGTGTATGGCTCAATACAACCGGGTGTTCTCCTCGTACCGGAGACCAGCCATCCCTAAGGACAAGCTGCTCTCCGTGGTCGAGTACCAACAGGAGAACCAACACATCATCGTCTGCTACAAGAACCATGTACGTCTTTAAGTGGATATATATATATATATATATATATATATATATATATATATATATATATATATATATATATATATATATATATATATATATATATATATATATATATATATGTATATATATACTTATATATATTTATTTATCTTCTTCAAATTTAATCTGAAACTCACTAATTAGATAGCAAGTGATCACTTTTATCTTCGAATTCCATGATATAACAATAAATATATTAGGATTAGGGCGAAGCGAAAAATTTACGTAAGTTATCCCTTTAAGTTTCCAATATTATATCTGTTTTCTACTACAACTATTGGTTATCATTTTCTTTTCTTTTTTTATGGTACACAACACTATTTTTAGTCCTTCTGTTCTGTTTCGATGGTAGATACTAACAGTCAATGTATCATTTAGAAATTCGATCTTAAATCCCATAAAAAATATTAATTATCAATCATTGGCAATGAAGTTTTATAAAATGGATCAATATCGTCTTGTAAACGGAATAATAGGTGCATTGTTTTCTCCTCCACCAACTTTTAATACATTCTGATACAGTATTTGAATGTCGATCAACTTCACATCATTATAAATCATATTAATTGTTCATGATAACGGTGGAGGAGACGGTTAGCAGTAAATATTACTAACAGAACTGCACCAAAATTTCTGGAGATGCTATTAATAATTTGCATGGTACTAAATACGAAAATGAAAACGACAATGCACAAAACTTGATCTGACCAACCCAAACTACCTAACCAAAACTAAATTCCTAAATAGCGGGGGAGGACTCCGTCCACGGATCCTCCGGCATATTAAGCAAAAAGAACTAATTTCATTTATGGACGTGAGAATACAATTGGTTGTTGCACCGAAACATCCATTTCTTCTCTGCTGCATTTTGAACACTTGTACGTCCTGCCAAGTTGACGAATAAACTCTTTGGAGACTGTCTTCATCCTCCACAATCACAGATAATTTGCGGTACGATACTGAACACAACACGATAACAACGCCATATTTAAACATGTTTATCTCCTCTTCCAGTTCTCCTTGTCTTTGAGGAAGAACAATAAGTATACGAATATACAGTTCACTTAGAATCCAATGTTACTCGAAAGAAATTGGAAATGGGATTCAAATCCAATTTATATAAATCTCATCCTTTGTAAATAGAATAGGCACAAGAACCACTTGGGCGAAAAGAAAAAAAATAAAGGAATTGTGCAGCCGATAAACACGAAAACCTGGAAGATAAAACCTATGACATTGAAAACAAAAGACAAGCAAGCTAATATTTACGGTAATAAACCCCACAATGAGATCCTCCGACCATACTTTTCATGTTTATTAAGACCGAAATCAGAAATTTATACATTTCGACGAGACGGACACATGCGATGCCACGGAAGAAATCTCGGCGCATTATTTACGGTAAATAAATTTTTTCTTGACCTACAAAGTACGTGGTCATGAAATTACTGTAATATAGTCAGTTTTTCGCCTTGTTTTACCCCGTAATTTGCTTCTGTTTTCATGCCCTGTCCGCTCTAGGTGGCGCAGTAGTAACAGTAACAGTAACACTTGGACCGTGACTCTTGCAGATGTTCCGGGTTGAGGTGGTAGTGGAGGGAACCAGGATGAGCCAGCAGCAGATCACGACACAGCTGCAGGAAGTCTTGAAGGCTGTAGACGAGTATGAGGGTTCGGATCCTCCTCCTGTGGGCATTATGACCTCTGACAACCGGAGAACCTGGGCCCAGAGTCGACAGATACTGGCGGGAGGTGAGTTCTTTCTCTCTCTCTCTCGCAAATGTTTATGAGGTATCCGGACTAACGATATTTTTGCCTTTTTTTTCCTTATTTACCAACGCCTGTACGTGACCCTCCCTGATAATCATAACATAACACATCAACCACTTAAGATAGATGGCTGGAATATGTTCATCTACCGTAGCTGTTGGGTGGAGGGAAACATAATTCTGGTGTCTTCTCGTGTCAGTGTTGTTTTTTTTCTCTCACACGGCCTCCCTGACGCCACTAACCATACCTGAGACCAAATATCCTCCTGCAGAGACGGAAAACCAGAAGATCCTGCGGGTTCTGGAGACGTGTGTGCTGGTGGTGTGTTTCGACGACCCTCTGCCGTCAAAATTCAACCTGGCGACCCGCACCAGCCACCGAGCCAGCCTCAGCAAGCGTTCCTCAAGCATCAACATGAATGCTCAGAACACGCCGACGGAGGTAAGGTAGAGAGGAGGGGGGTGATGGAGGTAAGGTAGAGAGGAGAGGGGGTGATGGAGGTAAGGTAGGAGAGGAGGGGGGTGATAAGGTAGAGAGGAGGGGGGGGTGATGGAGGGGTAGAGAGGAGGGGTGATGGAGGTAAGGTAGGAGGAGGGGGGGGTGGGAGGTAAGGTAGAGAGGAGGGGGGTGGTGGAGGTAAGGTAGAGAGGAGGGGGGGTGATGGAGGTAAGGAGAGAGGAGGGGGGGGGAGTGGAGGTAAGGTAGAGAGGAGGGGGGGTGATGGAGGTAAGGTAGAGAGGAGGGGGGTGATGGAGGTAAGGTAGAGAGGAGGGGGGGGGGGTGATAGAGGTAAGGTAGAGAGGGGGGGGGTGATGGAGGTAAGGTAGAGAGGAGGGGTGATGGAGGTAAGGTAGAGAGGAGGGGTGATGGAGGTAAGGTAGAGAGGAGGGGAAGATGATGATGATGATTTTAATAACGACACTGATATAATAATAAATAATAATAATAATAATATCAATAAATGGCAGAAACCCACTTCATCATGATATCTACCACACACACACACACACACACACACACACACACACACACACACACACACACTAATTAACCAGGTGTGTTTGTGTTTCAGGATATGACAACGAGAGACGAGGTAAACGCCGGCCATCAGATGATCCATGGTGGAGGCTTTAACCACAACACAGCCAACAGGTGGTTTGACAAGACCGTCCAGGTGGGTAAGGGTGATGCTGGGGGGGTGAGTGGAGAGTAGGGGAAGAGTGGAGAGGGATGAAGGAAGGAGGGAGAGGAGGGAGGGATGGGGAGAAGGGAAGGGGTGGAGAGAAGGGAGGGGATGGGGAGAAGAAAAGGAGTGGAGAGGGAGGAAGGAAGGGATGGGAAGGCGGGAAGAATGTATGGGGATGGTGGAAGGAAGGAGTGGAAATGGTGGGGGAAGAAGTTTGAAGAGGAAGGGGGAAAGAGAAAGGAGAGGAGGAAGGGAAGGCGTGGAGATGATGAATGAAAGAAGTAGAAAGGAGGGAAGGAAGGAAAATAAAGAAGAGAAAGTGAAGGAGTGTAGAGGAGGGTAGAGAAGGGAGTGGAGATGCTAAAATAAAGAAGAATGGAGAGAGTGAGTAAATAACAGGAGGAGATGAATGCAGCTCTTGGATGGGCAAACACCTTAGGTTATACACTTTAAGGAGTCCCTCTGTTAGCCTCTTGATGTGACAAATGATTCAATGATATTTTCCTGAGTAGTACCTTCCCTGAGGACATGAACAAGAGTAATATATCAATCATCGGTGATACTGGACCAGACGGAAACTCGATGAGATGCACCAACACCTCTTAGGGATTAAAAATTTCAGTGTTAGTCCTGCCCCCTAAAGTCTCCAGGCTATATGAGCAATGTCGAGGGAGAGACCCCAAGATAATTTACATGTGACAGTAGAATACGAATGGGATTGAGGAGGACTTCATCTTACAAGGCTCGTGTCTAAGAATGACTTTCCATTAAGCCTCTGTGGAAAATTCTATGACGCAGACGCATATTTCTTATTACAATATCTGAATTAAACTACTGTATCACAAAATTAAGGTAAAGTAAGTTCTTTTCTCAGAGTACAAGGATTTTATCTTAATATGAAGTAGAGCTACATACGTCTTAATACAAACAGGAGTATCTTGTATTACTGAAGCGCTGAAGGAAATGAAACTTTGGGGGACATCGAATTTATGCAACTCGCCAAAAAAAGAGCAGTTTGCCCTAAAAAATTATTTACATCAAAGAAAACGAAATCTATAAAATCTTTGCCTGGGTAACTAAGCTTATATTGCCTCATGGCTGCTAACTCCTATGATTGTGTCTCCTTTCCGCACCAGCATAGTTATTTAGCGTAGGTAACATCATACATATTATTTTTGCCTTTTAAAATAGAAACTTTGAATATCTGAACACAATGAAATAATAATTAACTATAATTTTCTTTATGATTTGGTGTTTTGGTTTGTTATCAGACCATAAGTTCTTTTAAATACATCAACGTGTGACATACAGGCGGGCCCGGTCACACATGGACCCACGAATGTTTGAAAATAGACACAAACAGACGGATAGATGGACGACAAATTCATAGAAGTGATGATAAGAATCAATAACACAGCAACAAGGACCTGATACTGAGCCTTCCTTACACTCACCTGTACTTACAAAACCTAAGTTATCTAAATTTAACTTCACTCAACCTAACCTAACCTCAACCAAACTACGAAGTGCGGTCCTAAAGTTATAGACACTTGATGTATTATAGAAAGTCAGAACCACATCTCATATATTAATAATATATATAGTCTCCCCTCTACTGGTTCTTCACTCAATATACCACCAGTGTTATAGAAACCTCAAGTGTTCCTCAGCAGATATTTGTGTTTCTTTTGTTTTGATTTTGTTTTATAATTTGTATTTATCTTTTCCTTTTTTTTTCTAGTTTATACAGCATTTTCAAGTGTTTTGTATGTCTCCGACGTGTAGCTTCCTTGAGGGGCTGTAGACCACAAATACTGAGGGACTTTTTTAAACACTGTCTACAAGGGTGGTGGAGGGTGGCTCAGATCACCACAGGATGACACACACACACACACACACACACACGTTTCAATGCCTCTTGTTCCACGAGTCACATTGTCTCTCCTCAGCTCTCCCTGCTTTAATTTTATCCTCTTCACCACTGATCGGCTCGTTAGCAGAAGCAGAAGGTGCGCGCGCATGTTGTGTTTATCCGCCATTAATGATCATCTCCGGATTGAAAAGGGAAGGGAAGGAGAGAGGACTTTTCTCCAGCTGTCTTAAAACACTGACCCGTGCTGGAGATTGGCATTATGAGTTGTACTTATTAGGAAATAGAAAGTACCTTCTCCACAGAACGCATAAAACATTAGTTGTAAAATATGTAATAAACTAAAGATAGAAGTTCCTGGTATTACAACATGGCGTACTAAAGGGTAAAAAAATATCACTTCCACGTGTTTGACGAGTGAATTTCGAGCTCCACCAACTCTCACTCCTGATACAGTAACGATTTTCTTGTGACGCAGTTCGTGGTGACGCGGGATGGTTGGTGTGGACTCTGTTACGAACACTCCTGCGCCGAAGGTATCGTCGTCATCCAGCTGGTGGAACAGATCCTGCAGGCTACCACCGCCGAGAAGGCGCAGCAAGAGGAGAACGTGCCAGAGGGAGTGACGCAGCCAGAGTTTGAAGGACAACAAGACCCAGAAGCAGTAAAAGCAGCAGCAGGAGGAGGGGCGTCTGAGGTAGGGTTTCCATCCCCTGAGGAACCCGCCCCGTCCCCCACCAGGCTGGAGTGGAAAGTCACGCCCGTCATCTACCGTCGGATGCAGGAGGCCGCTGACCATATTGACAGGTGAGTAACAACTTGGGACAGGTGGAGAGGTGGATCATTCATGACAAAGCTGAGTAATGGGGAATTGTCAGGTAGGAAGTCAGGTGGTCGATGTTATGAAAGAGATTCTGTTTTGTAAAGACCGATATGAGGTGAATTGTGCAGGTATAAGATAATTTATTGTTGCGCTTTGATTCTCACTTCCATAGTTCCCTCATAACTGTGACGTGTAGCGAATAATAGGAAAAAATTAAATAATAATCATGTATCAAAAGGTGTGAAGTGAGAGGTGTCCGCCTCCCTGTAGCATCGAACCAGAGTTTCGATCATTACTTATGGTTCTCTTAACGGACACACCAATCAATCTTACCTTCTCATCCTCAGAAGACTTAGACTTTTGTGTTTCATAACTTAGAAGACTTAGTCCATAGAATTCAGCGGCGAGGATGGAGAGAGACAACCCCAGATAACTGTGATCGCCGACGGTGATTATGATGCTGAAGGCAGAAATTTAGAGGCAAAATATCGCTGCTTAATATTTCAAACGACAGAGACAAAGATTATCCTGACGTACACCACAGATGTGTTACACCAGTGCCGTCTCTAGTGAGTGAAGGAAAGTTGTCTTCTCCTTAGGCTGGTGGAGGACCTGGACTTCCGCATACTGAGGTACCTCGGCTACGGCAGGAACTTCATGAAGAAGGCCAAGTGTTCCCCCGACGCCTTCATCCAGCTGGCCCTACAGCTGGCCTTCTTCAGGTAGGTAGCCCATCACTGTCACCTGTTACTCCTGGCCTTCTTCAGATAAATGGCCCACTTTCACTCAACACAGACAGCTCGGTTACCTGCTGTAAGTACTCAACTGATTATCTCTCTCCCCACACTCCCTTCCACTGCTCTTCTCCTTCAGCCTTTGTTCTCTATGTTTTCTCTTCACTCTCACATTCTCCCTTTCCTTCACTCGATGCTCTTTTCCACAAGTCCACTCTTCCTTACGTCATCTCTCTCCTCTCTTCCCTAATCCATTATCCCATCCCTCCCTCCCATCCTTCCTCCTCCTCTTTCTTCTTCCCTCTCCCCCACGCCTTCCACCGCCTACACACGAGTACCAGAGACTCATCGTGATGTGGACGTTGGTATGGCCATGAGCGTGGACCCACGCTGGCAGCACAGGTAATCTACCGTGCTGGGTCTCCCCTACCTGTCCCGACCATCCTCACCCTCCCCCCCCCTCCGTCTAGTTAGCACCTGTAGCTGGCACTCTTCCAGGTAGGCGGCTTCTTTCGTCACTCGTCCGAAAGCTAACGATCTGGGTTACAGGGATGTTATTGACAGTTTTGTATTATTTCTCCTCAAGTGCTGAAGTACAGGTGTTTATATAATATATTTTCCCCTCTGGTAAAGTCGGGTCGTGGGAAAAAAGGCGGAGGGGGAAACAAGAAGGAGCTGAAACAACAATAACTCGGTCTATTTAGAATTTAAGAATGAAGGACACTGCAGCGGGTGTTGGACTATACTAGACAGCCCCGTTTACACCCTGCCTTTATCACTCATATATCTGCCCAACCTATTAAGCTTCCCAGCGTGTTCGAGTTAATAATGGTGTTTGGTAACTTGTTCCACTCATCCACTACTCTATTTCTAAACACCAAAACCTAAATTTTTCAAACTTTAGACAATTGATACGTGTTTATTCCTGGTTGGTTATTTTAAGTACTTTCGTTATGACACCTTTGTTTAGCCCTGACTTCCATTTATACTCCTCAATCATATCGTCCCTCACTCTACGTCTCTCAAAAGAAGACAAATTCATATTATTTAATTTGTCTCCATACTCAAGGTCCCTCGTGCCCAGGATTAGCATTGGCATCCTCATCTGAATGCTTGCTAGAGGGTCGTTATCCATTATGTAGTACGGTGACCAAAACTGAACAGCATAATCCAAGTAAGGTCACATATACGCGAGATATATTGTAGTAAGGATGACCTCGCTTGTCCTGCTACTAACACTCCTTGATATGAATCGTATTATAGCTGACCTGACTCCTGACCTAGTTCCCGACCTGACTCATTTCCTATGTTTTGATCTGGCTGTTGCTCCTATATCCTGACGTAGTTTCTGACCCTGACTCCTGACTTGACTTAAGTTTCTGACTTAACCCCTGATATAATTATCGACCAGGCTCCTGATCTAGTGGCCAGACTCGTCACTGTTTGAGTCACTTGGTAAGATTCATAAGGTAAAGTGACGAGTAAACCTTTAGGTATATTCGCTATAGAAACTGTAGTAAGTCAAATGAGATACTAACAGTGGGTCGGAGGCTCGGCCGTATATAGTCACTCTACACACTGTACTAATGAACATACAGTATATACTTAAGGGAGCCACATCGGTAGGTATAAAACTCTATCATTGTATAAAGTATAAAGCAGACACAACTGATCACCATTATCGACTTGGTCTGGGGTTTTTTTCAATTGAGTTTATGAGGAGGTTCAATACATTCTCAGGGGGAGGGAAAAGTTCAACATACATTATATTAGAATCCTGGCGCTTATTTCCAGGTAATATTTTCTTCTCACTCGGCGACCAAGACCATGCATGAGTTCGGGTTAATTATGGGACTACAAAGAAGTAACAAGGCCAGAAACTGGTGTTGTAGAGCGTGGAAAAGTTTGTGACGCCCGGGTGCTGCGTCCCAGGTCTAGGCCTGTGGCAGACAGCTCGGGCGAGGGTGGAAGGAGGTGAATGATAAATGTTAATTACGGGTTACTCACGTCCTGTAAATAACATGAAACTTAGATATGATTTTAATCAATAAGGAACATGGATTGATCAGGAGAGGTGTCCCACACGTTCAATTAAAATTTACTGCCAGATATAAGTTAATTACGCCATCATAGGTTTTGCTTTGATCGTAAAGTTATCCAGAGGTTTGATAAGTTGGTAACATAACTTCATCTTCAGGGAGTCGAGAGTACACCTCCAAGCGCCACTCCTCTCAGGCGGGAACCAAGCAGGATGACTCAGCTGTCTCTCGGTCAGTTGTTGGACTGGGAAACAAACTCAACTGAACATCCAAGTTTGTATTTTTTTCAACAAATTTATAAAGAGAAAGTCCCTCAGTCTGAACCCTGGTAACACCTGAGGGTTCACAACACTGTGTTCTTGGCCCAGTGTGTGTTGGGTGATCAACTATCTCTCTTTTAGACGGAAACTCTGGTCGAGAGAACAAAAAATTAGCCAATAAGAATGTATCTTAACGGGTAGGTAGCCAATAATAATCCTCGATTAAGTGGCGAGGCGAGGCAGACACATCCCCCTCCCCTACATGAGAGTTACAGTGAACACAAACACATGGATGTGATGTTGTCTTTGAAAACTGTGAGGCTGAAATTATGTCTTGGAGATGACGTAAGACTCGTAAGTGATGATGTGTGATGAAGATATAGTGCAGTACAACTAACAGTGGATGGTGACGTCCTGAAGCAAGGTGATGGTGTTGTTTATCTGTGGGAGGAGGGGCAGTGAGTAAGGATGGTGAGAACAGAAAGGAGGAGGGGGAGGATAAATGCAGGAGAAAATGAGATATAAATATAACGAAACAATTGACGTCTGTGACATTTATTTGTCGTTGTGACAGAGGAACAAAAACCTGAATGGAAAGACGAGAAGAAAAATTGCAGGTGACAGAGAACAACTTGATTAAAAATATATAAGAAGTAAAAACAGCGGATCAACTAAGATGAAGAAAATCTGTTGGATAAGCAGTGTGTGACCCCCACCAACCCCAAAGCTCCAGGAAGGACACGAGAAGAAAAACCAACCAATTCGGACATTTTACCCTTGGACCTTGTGGTGGCTATAGAACACGGCAACTTATTGATGATAATGATAACTTACGTGTAACTTCTTAATGATTTAATTATTTCTAAAAGTTGATATTAAATCCTAAGGAAAACGACGATTAGATGACCTTTTTAATGTGTCGCCTGAAAAGTGTGAGACAGCGGCCATATTGTGGTAGTCGACCTCAAGTCTTGTAATAAATTAATGTGTTGTTTTTGTTTGTTTTTAATCACGTTAGACTTGTGGTTCGTGGATCTCTTGTGACCTACTGGTGTGAAATATCTTTAAGGACGAACTAGTGGAGAAGGGATCACTTTTCTCACTTGTTCTCGTAGTTTTCAGGGTATTCTCTCTCTCTCTCTCTCTCTCCTGGGCAAGTAACTGTTCACCTTGTAACCTATTATTTCTGCCATCATTTTCAGGTGCCATGGGCAGCTTACCAGCACCTACGAGAGCGCCAGCACCCGTAGGTTCCGCCTGGGCCGTGTCGACTCCATCAGGGCCAACACCCCGCAGGTGCTGGCCTGGTGTGAAGCAATGGTCCTCAACGCTCCTGTGAGTATATCTACCACACACACACACACACAAACAAACATACACACACACACACTTTTTAAGACGGGAACCTGAAAAGTTTCCATGGCGGTATGCTTATAACACGAGAGCAGCCTAACCTAACCTAACCTCAGACATGACATACATAACACAACCTATAGTCTGTTCACTCAGCCTTGCAACCGAGGCCTAGGGTTCAGTTCGCAAGCAAGGCAGCTGATTGGGTGACTTAACGCTCAGGTGACATAACGATCTTTGAAATGAAAAAGAAAAACATTACATAAATATTTCCCCGTCATCCTCCTCTACCCTACGTGACGTCAACCAATCAGCTGCCTGCGTGACGTCAACCAATCAGCTGCCTTGGTACAGACTGACCCTAGGCCCTAGCTGCAAGGTTGAGTAAACAGACTATGGTGAACAACTGCCCCTAACTCTGAACGTTAATTTACTGTACTTGGGTATATCTTCAGGTCCTTAAACACGTATAGTAAGGGTCGTTTGTTTACACGTCATGTATAAAGGAGATTTATATAACTAAAGTCAAACCAGAGATTGAAGCTTTGATAAACACAAGAGAAAAAAATAAATCACATGAAAGGTTCTTCGTATCATTACTGGCATGTTTACTAACACTTTTTTATAGAATACTGTGTTTACTTGCTCTCTTTGGTCACTGAATATTAATTAAAATAGGCGGCAGTACTTAAATACATTTACTCTACACGTCTACGGCTTTTGTAGAACTTCCAAGGAATATATAAATGAAGTGTTGGCTAGAAACTCCTCTCGTGGGCAAAATAAATATGTTTCTAGTGACATAATTAGTAAACGAGTACTTCAGATCTCAACTATGGGGAGGGTAGTTAAACATGCAGCGTCAGTTTTCTTATAATTACGCTAATAATAGTAATATGTAAACAAAGAAACATAAAAAAAAGGTGAAGCTAAATGCAAACGAATTTTACAAGGACATTAGACGGTGGTAACTTAACAAAACACCGACGGAGTACTGCGGTGGTCGTGTATGATGGCGCGCATAAGTAGTCCCTAGGCAGCATTAAGTAGTACCCCAGGCAGCATTAAGTAGTACCCCAGGTAGCATTAAGTAGTCCCCAGGCAGCATTAAGTAGTCCCCAGGCAGCATTAAGTAGTCCCCAGGCAACAAAGTACAACGTGTGGACTTACCAGTTGGTAGAGACGTAGGCGATGGCGATGCGCTGGAGTTCCGTAGTTGAGAGGTGACGTCCACACAGAGAGGCTGATTGAAAGAGTAATGAGTAAGGCCGCCGTGCAAGTCCTTATAAGAAGCCTACACACTGGCTTTGGCTGGCTATGACGTCACATTTCATTTGTACGAAAGGTGATTGGTCGAGAAGTGACGCTCTCGGTGTTAACAACCGTACGGTGCTGATAATTTATAATTGGTAGTTAGAGAGTGATGATTGTATTTTGTGGTGGTAATGGTAGTTTTAAGTGTGTGTGGTGCTGGTAGTGGTGTTAAGTGTGTGGTGGTAATGGCGTTTTGCTAATAGTAAAGTAAAAAATACAAATGAGGATCGGATTCACAAGTGTTGAAGAATTGACACACAGACACACACACACACACACACACACACACACACACACACACACACACACACATTACATACAGTTTGACGTCACTTTTCTGTTGACTTCAGAGTATGTCAATTACTCTGCTCATCATTCACTCGTTTTGGACTTATCTCAATCTCGTTCTGTTATTGATTGTCCGCTATGAAGGGAGGGGTGGAGGGAGGTAAGGGGGAGGGGAAGGGTGGCTCTTTTGACCTCTAATGGTCTTTCACCAGGGAAGTAGAGAGGAAATAATAGGTATATATTTTCTAATTTCATTGTGTTTGACAAAGAGGAAGATAATTTACTTGGAGGGGGTAAGAGAATTGTACCCGTAGAGAAATTATTATTATTATTATTATTTTTTTTTTTTTTTTTTTTTTTATTATCATTATTATTATTATTAATCATTATTACTATTATTATCATTATTATTATTATTATTATTATTTTTTTTTATTATAATTATTATTATTAATTATTATTGCTAATATCATTATTATTATTATTTTTTATTATTATTATTATTATTATTATTATTATTATTATTATTATTATTATTATCATTATTATTAATTATTTTACTATTATCATTATTATTATTATTATTATTATTATTATTATTATTATTATCATTATTATTATTATTATTATTATTATTATTATTTTATTATTATTATTATCATTATTATTAGTAATTATTATTATATTATAATCATTATTATTATTATTATTATTATTATCATTATTATTAGTAATTATTATTACTATTATAATCATTATTATTATTATTATTATTATTATTATTATTATTATTATTTGTTGTTATTATTATTATCATTATTATTATTATTATTACTACTATTATTCTTATTCTTATTATTATTATTATTATTAATATTATTATTATTATTATTATTATTACCCTTATTATTATTATTAATTATTATTATTATTATTATTATTATTATTATTTTATTTATTATTATTATTATTATTATCATTTTGAGAGATAGGGTATTAGGATGAAATGATGATGGTGAGAGTGAGGATGAGGGGTGAGGGGTTAGAGTGAGGGGTGAGTGAGGTGAGAGGAGGGGTGAGAGTGAGGGGATAGAGTCAGGGGTGAGAGTGAGGGGTGAGAGTGAGGGTGAGTGAGGGGATAGAGTGAGGGTGAGAGTCAGGTGAGAGTCAGGGGTGAGTGAGGTGAGGGGTCAGGAGAGTGAGGGTGAGAGGAGGGAGGGAGTGAGGGGGTGAGTGAGGGGATAGAGTGAGGGAGGGGATGAGAGTCAGGGGGTGAGGGTGAGGGTGAGAGTCAGGGGGTGAGAGTCAGGGGTGAGAGTGAGGGTTATAGTGAGAGGGGTGAGAGTCAGGGATGAGGGTGAGGGTTAGGAGGAGGGGTGAGAGGAGGGGTTAGAGTGAGGGTGAGAGGAGGGGTTAGAGTGAGGGGTGAGAGTGAGGGGTGAGAGTCAGGGGTGAGAGTCAGGGGTGAGAGTCAGGGGTGAGAGTTAGAAGTGACCCTTTCCTGTGGTCGCAATACTAGATAATGACATTTATTGATTCTTGCCGACAATAGAGGGGAATTACCGGAGAGGGGAGAGGGAAGGTGAGAGGGTAAGGTCCTCCTCTCTTTCTCCTAACCACTTAGAGCCTATTTTTCCCCCTCAATTTCCTCCTATCGTTCCCCTCTTTCCCTTCCATACATTGTAATCTCTCTCTCTCTCTCTCTCTCTCTCTCTCTCTCTCTCTCTCTCTCTCTCTCTCTCTCTCTCTCTCTCTCTCTCCACTCAACCCATTCATTTCTTCTTTCGTTATTTCATTCTTCCATCTCTCTCTCTCTCTCTCTCCTGGTTGTTCCTTCTTTTATTACGTCTCCTTCATATCGAAATCGGAGGAGTGGTTGAAAGTATTGCTGCTACCTGACCATGATCATTGATTACTGATTTCCAATACTGTAGGAATGATTATTTTGTTTCGTTTTCTTTGTAATAATATTCTGCGTAGGTAACCCCGTGTGGAGAGGTGGGAGGAGGAGGAGGAGGAGGAGGAGGGAGAGGAGGAAGAGGGAGAGGAGGAGGAAGAGGAGGAGGAGGGAGGGAAGGATATGTGGTGGGTGAAAGATTAAAGACAGACAGTCAGACATACACAGACAGATAGACGGAAACACATATAAATAGACAATCATATAGACAGGTAGAAACAGAGAGAGAGAGAAAAACAGACAGACAGACAGACAGAGACACAGCCAAACAGATAGACAGTACCAGCTTGTCTTATTGGCCCCGTGACAGAAGTACACTACTATATGGAATTCCTAACCCCCCACCACCACACCCACACCCCCACCCACCCCCACCCCCCCCTCCTCTCTGGAACACATCTGATTGCTATGTTGTCTCTCATCTCATCATTCGTTTCTCATTGTGTTTCCTTCACTACTGAGACTACAAGATAAATAATGGATAAGAAAACTAAAACCAAAAAAAAAATGAGAATAATTTACCTTTTCATTGATTTTCGTTCAGTTTAGACACTACAAAAATTAAAGGAATGGATAAAAAAAAATGAATTATAATTATTTTTTGTATTATGTTTCGTCCATTACAGAGACTAGATGATAAACGATGAATAAGAATTAAAAAAGCACAATTATTATGCATTTTGGAAAGTTAGACGCTATAAATTAAGTAAAAAAATTAAGAAATCAACAGTAAAAACATGATGATTTAAAAGGACCTTGTCTCCTGGGGTAGTATAACTAGTGTGTGTGTGTGATAGGTAGTTCATGTGTGACGTCTAATTGTCTCGTGAAGTGATTAGGTAACTACCCAGGGACTGTTAGTGCTTATAATTATGTTATGGCCTTGTTTCTCCTCTTTTTCTACGGTAGTAACCTAACCTAACCTAACCTAACCTAACTTACTTAGAAATAAACTCATCTAATTTACCAGTTCAAAACACGACGCAAATCACCTCAAATTTACGCACTAACTACAGAACTATCAAAATGACATAACGACTCATCCTTTTCCTTAACTAACTTCAAAAAAAATACATACAAAATTCAATACACTTCCTTACATCTGTTCCTCTCCTCAGTTGGCCGATCGCCTGACGAAGTACGAGACGGCTATCAAACTACAGACGGAGATTATGGTGAACAACATCTTGGGACAAGGTATAGACATCCACCTGTTGGGTTTGAGGGAAATGGCTAAAGAGATGGGTGTCGACGCCCCTATCTTCAGCCATAGGTCTTATCACGTCTCCAATCACTTCCGTCTGTCTACCAGTCAGGTGTGTGTCTATTTTCAACTGTCTATCAATCAGGTGTGTGTCTATTTTTCAACTGTCTATCATTCAGGTGTGTGTCTATTTTCAACTGTCTATCATTCAGGTGTGTGTCTATTTTCAACTGTCTATCATTCAGGTGTGTGTCTATTTTCAACTGTCTATCATTCAGGTGTGTGTCTATTTTCAACTGTCTATCATTCAGGTGTGTGTCTATTTTTAACTGTCTATCATTCAGGTGTATGTCTATTTTCAACTGTCTATCATTCAGGTGTGTGTCTATTTTTAACTGTCTATCATTCAGGTGTATGTCTATTTTTAACTGTCTATCATTCAGGTGTGTGTCTATTTCCAACTGTCTATCATTCAGGTGTATGTCTATTTTCAACTGTCTATCATTCAGGTGTGTGTCTATTTTTAACTGTCTATCATTCAGGTGTGTGTCTATTTTTAACTGTCTGTGAGTCAAATACTGTCTTTTATTAACCTGTCTATCAATAAGTTATGTACACCTGTCCATCTGTATTTAGACAGTCACAGTATCCATCTTAAACTATATCCGTATGTCTGATTATCCACAGGTAAGTTACGTGTCCCTCCTACCTATCTTTTGTATACAACCATACATCAACCATACTACCATACACCAACCATACATGAGTCAGGTACAATACAACCATACATCAACCATACTACCATACACCAACCATACATGAGTCAGGTACAATACAACCATACATCAACCATACTACCATACACCAACCATACATGAGTCAGGTACAATACAACCATACATCAACCATACTACCATACACCAACCATACATGAGTCAGGTACAATACAACCATACATCAACCATACTACCATATACCCACCATACATGGAAATACAACCACATCAACCATCTACCATACCAACCATACATGAGTCAGGTACAAACAACCATACATCAACCATACTACCATACACAACCATACATGGCAACCATCCTTCACCAACCTCAAGTCAGTACACAACCATACATCAACCATTCTACACCAACCATACATGAGTCAGGTACAATACAACCATACATCAACCATAACCATACACCAACCATACATGAGTCAGGTACAATACAACCATACATCAACCATACTACCATACACCAACCATACATGAGTCAGGTACAATACAAACCATACATCAACCATACTACCATACACCAACCATACATGAGTCAGGTACAATACAACCATACATCAACCATACTACCATACACCAACCATACATGAGTCAGGTACAATACAACCATACATCAACCATACTACCACATGGTCGGACACATCAACATACTCCATACCAACCATATGGTCAGTAAATAATACAACCATACTACATACACCAACCATACATGAGTCAGTACAATACAACCATACATCAACCATACTACCATACACCAACCATACATGAGTCAGGTACAATACAACCATACATCAACCATACTACCATACACCAACCATACATGAGTCAGGTACAAACAACCATACATCAACCATACTACCATACATGAGTCAGGTACAATACAACCATACATCAACCATACTACCATACACCAACCATACATGAGCAGGTACAATACAACCATACATCAACCATACTACCATACACCAACCATACATGAGTCAGGTACAATACAACCATACATCAACCATACTACCATATACCAACCATACATGAGTCAGGTACAATACACCATCTCAACTTACCATCCAACATGAGGGTACAAACAACCATACCTCAACCATACTACCATACACCAACCATACATGAGTCAGTACAATACAACCATACTCAACCATACTACCATACACCAACCATACATGAGTCAGGTACAATACAACCATACATCAACCATACTACCATACACCAACCATACATGAGTCAGGTACAATACAACCATACATCAACCATACTACCATACACCAACCATACATGAGTCAGGTACAATACAACCATACATCAACCATACTACCATACACCAACCATACATGAGTCAGGTACAATACAACCATACATCAACCATACTACCATACACCAACCATACATGAGTCAGGTACAATACAACCATACATCAACCATACTACCATACACCAACCATACATGAGTCAGGTACAACACAACCATACATCAACCATACTACCATACACCAACCATACATGAGTCAGGTACAATACAACCATACATCAACCATACTACCATACACCAACCATACATGAGTCAGGTACAATACAACCATACATCAACCATACTACCATACACCAACCATACATGAGTCAGGTACAATACAACCATACATCAACCATACTACCATACACCAACCATACATGAGTCAGGTACAATACAACCACACCTCAACGACATGACTCCATCTGTAAATAGGTTGTTCCTTTAGTAAAATATAACCTGGATTTATGATAGCTATTTATATTTTATGTCTATTCAAGGTTGCTGTTATTGTGTGTGTGTGTGTGTGTGGTGATCTGTCTGTCTGTGTCCATCTGTCTGTCTGTCTGTCTGTCTGGTTTTTTTCTCTAGACGTAATTATTGGACACGAAATAAAGGAACATGACCTACCACCTATATTATTGCTACGTCAAAAAACACCACCAAATGGGATAAATTCTTCTTGGCAGCCATTCAACCTCTCTCTCTCTCTCTCTCTCTCTCTCTCTTCTCGTAATGCCGTGGTACATGTGTGGGGGGAGAGACGAGTGTGTGGGGGGAGAGACGAGTGTGTGGGAGGGGTGGGTGGAGGAGCATGAATCTAAAAGAGCCCAACAGATCGATCGTGTCCAGCTTTTTATGTAACCAGCAACTTCCGGGTTTGACTCCATCGTGAGAGAAAGAGAAGGAGAACCGAGCTAGAGGGAGAGAAGAGGAAGCTGGAGGGAGGTTAAAGGTAAGAGAAAGGGAGAACAATAGGTGAAGGGAGAAAATAGGATGGAAGGGGAAGGTGAAGTGGAAAAGGGGGGGAGAGAAGGAAGGGGGAAGTGAGGAGAGAGATGAAGGAAGAGAAGGAAGAAGGAAAAGTGAGGGGAGAAGGGAGGGAAAGGGTAAGGGAGAGGAGGGGAAGGGATGGAGTGAGGAACTATGAATAGGAAGTGTCAAGGTTTGTTTTCAGAGTGACAGCTACTTCCGAATGCTGTACCATGTAGAAGAGACGCGTAAAGGAGGGAGCCAGGGAGGGAGGGGAGGGGGAGGGAAGGGAGAGAAGGTTGAGACGGATGGATATAGGGAGTGAGGGGAGGGAAGAAAGAACAGACGGAGGGAGGGAAGGACAGGCGGAGGGAGATTAAGGAAGAGAAGGAGGGAGACTAAATAAGGAAGAGAAAGAGGCAGCAGGATATTCATGTTGAGGATGAAGGATGATATAAGGAGTATGAATGACGTCATCAAGGACCTTTATTTTGTTCGTTGTTATGAGAGAGAGAGAGAGAGAGAGAGAGAGAGAGAGAGAGACCTACTTAGAATACATTACATCCTACAGGGTTCCCACACACCCAATAGCCTCGGCACCAAAGAACAGAGAACAATACCCTGAGATGAACACATTGAGAGGCGCTGTCCTGGTAACGAATAATGAAGGTATAACGTATCTCCTTTGAGTGTTGGTAACTAGTTCTTTATCATCTTCCTTTTCATCATCATCATCATCATCACTAACGTTACATTGGGTCACTATATCCCAGTGTTACTTCGATACGTGTTACATTGTTATTATATAGTGTTACCTCAGTATCTGTTGTGTGTTGCAGGTGCCGACACTATCAGATTCATGGATGGGCTACGGAGCTGTTGTACCTGATGGCTACGGTGCCTCCTATAACCCCCACCCAGATTCCATCGTCTTCTGCCTCTCTGCCTTTAATTCATGCGAGGAGACTTCTACTCTGGAGTTTGGCAGGAGCCTCGAGCGAGCACTAGACGAAATGAGAGTTCTTATGGAATCAAAGTTCAAATAAAAAGGATTCTCTGTTTTTCTCAATATTTTTTTTTTCTGGAGCCAAACGATTATACAAAAAAAATACCCACGAAATATTAATACAGCTTTGGATGTTCTTTTTTTTTTTTTGGATGAAATTTTACGGTTTTACTGAATATACTTTGTGATTTATTATTATACAGTTTTCAGTGTGTTTGTTTGTTTGTTTTATAGGAATTTGTATCTTGTGTTTGTTGGAGAGGGTTAATGTTTGTTGGAGAGGGTTAATGATTGGTTGAGAGAATTTATGTTTGTTTCAGAGGCTTAATGTTTGTTTCAGAGGCTTAATGTTTGTTTGAGAAGGTTAATGTTTACTTCAGAAGGTTAATGTTTACTTCAGAAGGTTAATGTTTCCCAGGTGCTTACAAAAGGACTCCACATCCAGGTGGTCGACATAGGTGCAGTTCTAAGACAATTTGTCCCCCTAAGACTGACAGACTTTACTCTCACTACCTGATGTTCTGTACCCACTCGCTGTGTCTGTCTGTGTCTCCAGAGATTAATTTTATACAGCTACTGAAGCTTCTGAACTGTATTTATTGCTGAATGTCATAATAATGTTGGAACATATAAAGAGATATATATATATAAATGTAAACATATAAAAAAAAACTGGTCCAGGCTAAACCATTTTAGAGGAGAAAAAAATAAATCAAGTTTGCACATAGATTAGCGTAGGGGGGCCATTGTTGACTATAGTTAGGTAGTTTAGTTTATGTATGAATGACAGACGTGAGTAGTTATGATATCTGCATTCAGCTGCGTTGTTCGGTGATGGTTTATGATAACAGTTAACACTTCCTTAGTCTAACACGTTAATTAAACAACAGTAGGTGCTTCGATGTAGTGATTTAGTTTGGTAGTTAGTCAGTTAGTTAGCCTTTGTTAGGGGTGTGGCGGGCAACGACATCCTGCTGCTTAGATGACAGTACTGTGTAATCTTATGTACATACTGTATACCTGGTGAGTTCCGGGGGCTATTGGCGAGTTCTGGGGGCTACTGGCGAGTTCCGGGGGTTACCTGCGAGTTCTGGGGGCTACTGGCGAGTTCGGGGTTACCTGCGAGTTCTGGGGGCTACTGGCGAGTTCTGGGGAACACCGGCGAGTTCTGGGGGCTACTGGCGAGTTCTGGGGGCTACTGGCGAGTTCTGGGGGCTACTGTCGAGTTCTGGGGGCTACTGGCGGAAGTTCTGGGGCTACTGGCGAGTTCTGGGGGCTGGCGAGTTCGGGGGATTTACCTCGAGAGTTCTGCAGGGGCCTACTGGCGAGTTCTGGGGCTGCAGCAGAGTTCTGTGGGCTACCCTGGCTTTGAGTTCTGGGGCTACTGGCGAGTTCTGGGGCTACTGTCGAGTTCTGGGGCCATTGGCGACTTCTAGGGCTATTGGTGAGTTATGGGGAAATTAACGAGTTATGGGGGTAGTATCGAGTTATGGGGGTAACTGTTGAGCTTTAAAAGACTTACTGGGGCTCTGGGTATTGATTAACTCTTTAACTCACTCACCGACCGATAAAAATAGTGAAGTGGGGGAGTGAGGTGATAGTGAGGGTGAGGGTGATGGTGAGGGTCAGGGTGATGGTGAGGTGATGGTGAAGGTAATTATGACGTGGATGAAGGAGTGAGTAAATGGAAATAGGTAAGTTGATGAATAGAATAAGAGGAGAGAGAGAGAGGGAGAGAGGAAGGAAGGCCACATACACACACACACACACACACACACACACACACACACACACACACACACACACACACACACACACACACACACACACACTTCAAGATGGTGGACAATCAATAAATTTAGCTCATAAGTTTAGACTGTTGATCTGTTGTTAGTCTTAAGGGTATTGTGTTGTGTGTACCTAATGAATATATACATACATTCATAGGGAACAAAGCCTCTGTAACTTAACTGAATCGAAAATGTTGAAAATGTTGAGAATGTTTGTTGAAATGTTAAATGAAGTTGTAGAAATTATCTGATATTCTCAGTGTTGTGAATTTTATCTCCCTAAAAGAAACAAAAAATAAAATTCTTGGGAAAATTTTGTTTACTCTACGTTGGAAATTATGTATGGTATTTTAATTACATGTGTGTGTGTGTGTGTGTGTGTGTGTGTGTGTGTGTGTGTGTGTGATTACAAAAACAAGGTAGTAATTTGTTCTTGTTTTCTTATTGAGGATTGATATAATTACAGACAATAATACTGGATTTAAACGATATTTTTTTTGATTTATGTGGCTGGTATGCTGGTCTTGTCTCCTCTATTGACTGTGTGTGAAAGGTCAGGTGGTCTAGTCAGTCAGTACATCAAGTAGGCAGTTTTTTAGTCCAACTTGTACTCTGGTCGACCTTTACGTCTCGAAAAAAAAATTCACTTGACCTTTTCCAATATACAATACAGGTCTAATACAGGTAAAGAGAACATATGGAAATAAGATAAAATGTTTATTATATACTCAGTTAATATTTATATCAACTCATTGTTTTCTTTAGACCATTACTGATCATTATAATGTTAAATATCATCTTGGTCTTGCATTACGTGGTGTACATATTTCTGTTATTGATGAGTGTATGTTAATATCTGGTTAATATACATGTTATTTATAGTTAAGTACAGCGGTTATAGTTCCTCATTTATCAATTATTATTATTATTCTATGTATTTATTGTTATGTTATGTAATGTCAGTACAGCGATACAGTCACTTGATCTCGCGATAACCGGTTACAAAATATTAATACATTGTAATGAATTTGCCTTTAGGTTATAGATATACACACCTTTAACAATCACCTAACAAACACACACACACACACACACACACACACACACACACACACACACACACACACACACACACACACACACACACACTCGTACACACACACACATCTGGTTTATTCAGCCAAAGGGAATACGCCCTTGTTTCACGGCGTCTCAGGTCACTTATTGATTATTATTTTATATAACTTAACGACGTCACTCCTCCTTAACGACCAATTAATGGAAAGGTTAGGTGATTTAGAATAACTTTGAGCTTTTTTTGCAATTTTTGTTTTGTTTCTTCGTTATTGTGTTTTTGTTTTTGTTTCTCTTACGTTTTTTTGTTTAGTTGTTTTGTTATCTCTTCTTCACCTGTTTATATATCAGGTGTTTGTGGTTACCTCCTTTTGTTTTTGGTTGATTTTGGTCTCTCTCTCTCTCTCTCTCTCTCTCTCTCTTCTCTCTTTCTCTCTCTCTTCTCTCTCTCTCTCACTCTCTCTCTCTCTCTCTACCTAGTTGGCTAAGGTTATGAGAATAAACACACAAGAGACCTCTGAGATTAGAAATAACGATGTTTATATATATATGTACCAAAGTGGTGTGAGGAGGTCGAAAGGGATTAAGCAGCTCTCGAGTCCTGTTTGAGAGGTTGGTGGTTCGAGAGGTCGGTGGTTCGCGGGGTCGGTGGTTCGCGAGGTCGGTGGTTCGAGAGGTCGGTGGTTCGAGAGGTCGGTGGTTGGAGGTCGCGTTCGAGGTTGGTGGTTCTAGAGGTCGGTGGTTCGAGAGGTCGGTGGTTCGGAGAGGTCGGTGGTTCGAGAGGTCGGGTGGTCTGAGAGGTCGGTGGTTCGAGAGGTCGTGGAGGTTCGAGAGGTCGGTGGTCTGAGGCCTTGTGGTTCGAGAGGTTGGTGGTTCTAGAGGTCGGGTGTCTGAGGTCGGTGGTTCGAGGTCGGTGGTTCGAGAGGTCGGAGGTCGGTGGTTCATGGGAGTTTTTATATACTAACATAAACTCACGTCTATTAGTTTCTATTAGTTTATAAAATAGGATAATAATAATTTTCAGTTGTTTGTAATATTTTTTTTTGTGTACACGAGAAGTACTTTGTTATTTCGACAGATAATATGTAATTTATTTTGAGGCTAGATTATTAATGAGTGAGTTTATTTAACATTAACATTATATATAAAGTGTGTGTGTGTGTGTGTGTGTGTGTGTGTGTGTGTGTGTGTGTGTGTGTGTGTGTGTGTGTGTGGGTGTGTGTGGGGTGTGTGTGTGTGTGTGTGTGTGGTGTGTGTGTGTGTGTGTGTGTGTGTGTGTGTGTGTGTGTGTGTGTGTGTGTGTGTGTGTGTGTGTGTAGTCTAATTATCGTTCAGAAGCAATAGTTATCACTCAGTACGCTTATTAATACGGTTACAATATGAATGATTTATTTCCCCTTGAATTAGAGCTTTTAAAAAGACAATATTTATTAAGGAGTTGTTGTTCAGGTAGAGTGACGTGTGACTCAGTGATGTTGAGTCATAATGCAACACTGAGCTAGTCACTGATCTCGTCACTGATCTAGTCACACGTGTTATTTATAAACAGAATTTATTTATTATTATTCTATACATTATTATTATTATTATTCACTTATTAAAGAAAATATATAATTATAATGATAGAGAAATATGATGAGACACAGAGGTATATATATATATATATGTATATTACTGTTTATTGATATATTTGTTTTAGGAATCAGATTATATTTTTGTTATATAATTTGTTTAAAGATTGTGATTATATTTGTATTAAATAGCTATATATTAAGTATTACATCAGACAGGTAATACAGACAGGTAATATAGACAGCCAATCAACACCTGCCTCACCTGCCAGGTATATTTACTCATTGTTTTACCTTTTGTGTTTATGTTCTTATCTCTTTTATATATCATCCTTGTGTTATATCTCATGGTAAGTGACTTTAGTATATGTTACTCTCAGTCTCTCTAACTATCAAGGCTGGATTATGTTATCATGTGTGGGAGGTGGAGGTGGGGTCGAGGGGTCAAGCAATAAGTTATCTTTGTCCTCGTGTTCAGAAGACAAGAGTGGAGGAGGAGGTGAAGGACATTAAGGAAGTGGTGAAGGATATTAAGGAAGTGGTGAAGGAGGTATAGTAATACTTCACTGGATAATGTTATTCTTACAATAGTTCGATCTAACTCCAGTAATTAAAAAGTGAGAAACAAATTGGAGTCTCCATAATAGTGTTGGGATGTAAGTGAACCATTACTGTGTTTATGCTGATGTTTGCGACTTAGGGTGTTCGTTGTATACACTTATGGACCCTTACTTAACGATGTTCACAGAGTTTATAAGTACAGGAGAGGCTCAGTATAAAACGCCTTTCGTTGATGCTGAGTTATATTTTAGATAATTGTGGCTGTTGCAATACATGATCAATAAGTGTTCTAAATGAGATATTATCGTCTTAATATCTTGAATGACTCTGGAAGTGTTCGTGACAAAATACTCTTATATCAAAAAAATATATATTGGCCATAGAAAGGTAAATTTTAGGTAATATTTTTGTTAATTTATATATCATGTGTTTTAAGGATACGTTTTTAAAGGGGGGTTCATCCTAAGTAATTTATTTATTTATGACTTTGGTTAGGGTTAGGTTAGGTTAGGTTAGGTTATGTTAGGTTAGCGTAAAATAGTGTGTAAGTAATGTTAGTTCTGTTGATTGTCGTTTAAAATTGATTTTGTTTGTTTAAAAAAAAATTTCCTATATATTAAATCTATAAACAGGAAAATAGTTTATTATTTCATTATTATTATGAAGATAATATCCCTAAAACACATGATATTAATTATTGATATATTTATTGACTTATTCACGTGTGTAAATGTATATAGCTGTTCATCCACATATTTTACCTGTATACTGTAGTGTGTCACACCATTACTACATGTTGGTAACGTTGTCAGGAGGTCGTCAGGAGGGTGTCAGGAGGGTGTCAGGAGGGTGTCAGGAGAGTGTCAGGAGGTGTCAGGAGGTTATCTGTTACGAAAAGACTTGGTAAACGTTATCTGTGGTCCTCATTAGCTACGTGACACCGGTCTATAATGTTTACTATTTAGAGGTTGTGTTGTGGTGTTGTGTTTAAGTCAGTGTAATACATCACTAGAGACATCATCGTTCATGGGGTTTAATTTAAAATGTTTTATAATGAATAAACCCATATGGTTATATTCCTCCCAGAGATGAATATATCTAATAGAGATTTATTGACGTTATATAAATTTTGTAGAATGTTATATGAAAGAATCGAAATGTGGTTTATATATTTATTTATATAGACACGCGTATATCTGTTGTACTAGAATGTTGCTGTTTAAAGTAGATGTAGATATATGT